TCATACCACAATGGTGAATCATATCATAATGGTGGAGACTGTACGATATTCAATAATCGATGGGAACCAAATACCAAATACAATAACTGATAACAAGAAAATACGTATGGCATACGATAGATAATCATAAATAAAGCCAGTAAAAATATTATGACAGTAACAAATTATATCATCTTCTCATACTGGTAAGGATTTGTACGATATCTAAGAACCATACCAAATGCCAGAAGATCTCAAGGTTTTATCCAACATCGTACTTAGGGTCACCATGGGTTGCCGCCCGAGAATTGTTCCCTAAGACGATTGGGTGAAGGTCACCAGGATGCACCAGACACTGTTCCTTCAACCGTTGAGCACTAGGGTCACCTCAGTCTCTCCGGGTCTGTTCCCTAGTGGCTAGGCTCACCCGCACATAGAGGAATAATTTTCAAGGACTTTTAACCAAATGCTAGAATATATCTCAGGGTTGGATCTAACATCGTACTTAAGGTCACCAGGACACACCAGACACTGTTCCTTCAACCATTGAGCACTAGGGTCACCTCAGCCTCTCCCGGGTCTGTTCCCTAGTGGATAGAGTCACCCATATACAGAGGAATAATTTTCCTGGACTTTTAATTTTGGTCTCATTCACCATCACTAAGTCTCACATATAAACAAGTGATTGAGTCACAATACTTCACAAAAGAATTCATCAAAGTAAGGAGAATCGTATACCACAAGTATTTAGACACTTAGTAAAATATTTTGTAAATGTAGTAATGAACCAGCATGACGTATTGTTTTTAAAATATTTAGGGATACGGAAAATTTTTCAAAATATGTAGCATGCCAAACCACTCACCTTAAGTCCAAATGATATGCTTTTTGAGTGTTGCTTGTTACCCAAAATGAGATGTTGTCGATGCCTTTCCTCTTTCTCTCACGATTTCTTTTCTTCTTTGATAAGGTGCTATTCCTTACTTCTTTTACTCTTTATTCTCTTGAAAGTGGAAGACTACTTGTGCACTTCTATTCTTAATCCAATCCCCAAATGCCCTATTTATAGACATCCTAGGATTATTCTAGAGAATATTGACATGCGACATTTTTAGGAGAGATTGCCTAGAATATTCTACCAGCTCCCCCTCTCCTACATCTTTATAGATTTCTAACTTATTTTGCATATGACAATTCCACAAGTATCTAAATTCATCTATAATATTTTAAAGTCTTCTCCAACCTTCTAAATCCTTTCGAAACTTTTTGGAACATTCTAAATCTCTCTGGAACATTCTAGTATTTCCTAGAATCTTCTAAAATATGCTAGACTTCTTTAGATTGTTCTAGAACTTTTCGGATTCTTCTAGAAACTTCTTTAACATTTTAGATTGTTCTAGATTTTTTTTGAACTTTCTAGAATCTTCCAGACTATTCTACATTTTTCTAGAAACTTCTCCAATATTTTAGATTATTCTAAATTTTTTTTAAAAATTTTTTTATTCCTTACAAGATAATATTTCTAATTAGTTTCTTGCCAAACTGAAAAGGGGTATTACAGTTGTGGTATATTCGCAAAGTGAAGTGACTAATTAAAAGAACCAAAGTTAATATTTACCTAGTATTTAGAAGTAATTTTTGCTAAGATTATAATGTAATAGCTTTATTTTATATTCTTTTGACATATAATTGTAGATAATACTTAAAAAACACTCATTTGCCTTTGAAGTAATATAAAATTTTTGTTAATGTATTTTATGGTATGTGAATTTGAAAAGAAATGTTAAAAGTTCAACTAAAAAAATTATATATGTTTCTCGACTACAAAAGTATCCGCGAAGTATCTTAATATTTCATTATTATCGGACATATTGAAGGTGTATCCGATACGTATTCTCGAGTATCCGACGAGTATCGTATCCGATACGGATACGTCAACCTCAACGAAGTATCTGTGATTCAGAGAATCTAGGTGATCGAAAATGACATACTTTCAGTTTGAATTCTTAAATTTCATGCCCTCTGCTCTCATTTTGATGTTATTTTATTTATTTATTTTTTTATGTCCGCTCTTGTACAATTGGTATCCATAGTTCAATTCCTTAATCGAGTTAGGGTCATCTAATGATATGGGTTAGTTAGGTACTACCAACCCATGTTTTGAGCTTAGAGGGTTCTTTAAGAACTCTTGTAATCACTCCGATTTTAGCTGTCTCATGTATTTGTGAAGGACGGTGCAAAGATGAGTCTATGGTTGTTCAGTCTTTGTTTGCTAAATCTTGTAGGCCTCAAAATTCCAATAGACATTGGTTGTGAACCGATTAAAAAACTTAGACGTTCTTTAATTAACTAAACTAAGCTGCTATGTTTGTTTGTCACCTTCATTGTACATTTTCCTACTAAATAGATTGATGCTCAGCTATCATATTCATTTGACATAATTGTTTGCAATTTCTTCAAGATATTCTCTTGAACATGTATCCAAGTCTATTGCGGTGTTTGTTCTAATGTTCGCAAGATAACCTTTTTTTTATACGAAAGTTATATTAGCATTCAGAGTCTGAAAATTTTGGCTTCATTAGTCATGTTTATGTAACTCACTGATTTTATTCATTATCTTATGTAGAGGGTTATAACCCTTTTAAACCATTCAACTTAGCCAATTTGACTTGTTTTCTTGGTGGCTGGCTGATATACCCGGTCCCTCTTGTGCTCTTGTTTTCCCTTTCATCCTGCCCTCTTCTCTCCCAGATTGATGCTTCTTTTCTTCTGTCTTCCTGTCTGAAATTCACCTCTTGCACATGTTTACTGTTTGTGTGTTGTGGTGGCAGAATGGACTTGATAAAAAGGTTGAGAAGTCAAGGAAGCAAATGAAGGAGAGAAAGAACAGAGCCAAGAAGATCCGTGGAGTAAAGAAGGTAGAATTATTGCTACTTTCTTTGTTTTTAGTTTATTATTATTATTTGAAAAGTTTTATATGCCAATGTGGTAATCGGTATTGTCGCCCTTTTTTACAGACAAAGGCCGGAGATGCTGCCAAGGCTGGAAAGAAGAAATGAGTTTCCTGCATTTATCATTTAATCTTTAGTGTCATTTGCAGCAATGGTGTATTGTCAGTAGCTTTATGTGTACTTATAATGAATCATAATCTTCGGTGTCTCCTAACAAGATTATGTTATTTTGAGAGGACAATTTTTTGAATTGAGAGTAGTAACAGATTCTCTTTTTATTCAATTGTTTCTTGCTGTGATTGTTGCAGAATTCTACTATCAATAGGTTTTAACTCTTGTGTTGCCTTTATGATCCCTATTGAAGGTTATAGTTGCCACTCGATAGGATCATAACTGTTATTTTGAAGTACTGTGATTTTGTGTTATTAGCCGCAAAATTAAGCGAGTTGTGCAGGTCCTGTCTAGACGACTGGGTTTTTTCCTCTTGCTACCCAGAAGCCGTGGGAGTCAACTGTCTCAAGGGGATTCAGATTGTTGAAACAAATTAAACTGTCGGAATAGTGGTGTCTGCATCGTTATAAAATCTATAGTTTGGGGTAGTAAATTAGCTGAAGGAACGTGTTTGAGCTCGAGTTTGATGTGAAAAACGAGTTTAAAAAATTATTAAAATTAGACTTGATTGTTTGTTTAAGAATTTGAGTCGAGTTCAAAATGAGCCGAATTCAAGTGGAGCCTGAGTAGTTTAATTATTTTAGGGAATTTTCTTAAATTACATTAAGAAAATTTATTTGATTCTAAGTGTATTTTTTTAAAAAAAATTAAAAAGTCATTAATTACTTTGTTATTCTCTCTCTCTCTCTTACTCCATTACGCTTTCTCTTTCCTATTTTCTCTTTATCTCTCTTAATCTCTGTTAGTCTCTCTGTTTATCTCCCTCCTTTTTTTTTTCTCTCTTTCTCACCTATTGATAACTTTTTTTTTTTTTTTTCAGATATGTAAAAACTTAATTTGATTTTTTCATCTATCTCTAACCTATTTTTTTTTCTCTCTCACTCTCTCTTCCTTTATTTTTTCTCACCGTTATTCTTTCTCTCTCTGTCTCCTCTCTCACTCTCCTTATATTAAAGTTATAACAACACAATTATATTAAATCATATAAATTACAGGGGTTGGCCACTTTGCCACACCCGAGTGCAACCCGACCCTTGGCCAACAAGTCAGAAAACTAGAAATATTCATGGTTATTTATATGAATGTTCACTCTACCCAATGGCCACGAGTAGGAATTATGATATTTTATCTTCTTTTTCGATATTTTGCGAAGTAATTTTTTCTTAATCTATCTCTATCCGATTAAGTGTACTATTTCTACCTGAATTTCAACCAAAACAATCAAGTACGTTAGGTGAATTTATATTTTTTAGTTATTAATTTTTGGATCATTTTAACAATTTAATTAATCTACGCCAATTAACTAAACAACAACCAATAACAATAAAGAAAACAAAATAAATTCGATAATACATAAATAATTACAATAAAATACAACAAGAAAGTCAAAAACATCAATACATCATACATAAAAAAGTAATAAACAACAATAAAACATTAGTGTTTCTAAATTTTTGAATTTTAATTTTTAGAGATTAACATACATATATATTTATGCGTGTAAGGTAGGGTCGAAATACGAAAATTTTATAAATATTTCGCATTCCTACTAGATTTTTTTGCAAAATACCAAAAAATCTCCCGTTAGTTTACGTGATTCATTCGGATAGCCAATCAAAAATGTCGGGTCGTGTAGGGTAAAATTGGAATTTTCGAATAATCGAAAAATTGAACACGCTAGTTATTCATGGTTTTGCCACTTTGACCCACCCGAATTGAATCCGACCCATGTTCAACAAGTCAAATAATTAGGGCACCTGTTGAAAGCAACCCGTGTATAAATTTTAGGGTTTTGCCTCTCGTCCATTCTCCCTCTGCCTTTCCTGCTGCTGCTGCTGCCTTTGGCGATTGCCCTGTGTGGTTGTGATCCGTCTGCTGTACTTTCTATCACACAAAGCCATGGCGGACAAGGCAGTTACCATCCGTACCAGAAAGTTCATGACCAACCGGCTTCTCTCTAGGAAGCAATTCGTAAGTCTTGCTTTCACTAATGCTATATCTATCCATCTACATATATGGGTACATAAATGCATGTGTATGTGTGTATAGGTGCAGTTAATATGTGTATAATTGGGTATATGTGTTTTGATTTGGCAAGGAAGACAGTTGATCTGAATTACTTGCTCTGACAGTGTATTTGGCTGGAAAAGTGAATGAGATACTTTGCATTTTGTAGCTTGAGTTGATTTCATTTCAAAAAACTGAGAACTATAATAAATTGGTTTTGCTAAATACTAGAAATTATAAGTGGGTTCTTCAGCTAAATATATGAATTTGAAACGATGAGGAGATATAATATTATAGGCTACACTTTCCTTGGATTTATTTCATTTTGCTAATTACCAATTGTGATGCTTCCCATTTGTTTTATTGGGACAGGATTCAGGAAATTTAACTGGGTTTAGTTTGATGTTTGAGTTCCAAATAATGGAGAATATAGGATCTGAAGTTTTACCTACTACAGTTTTCTTTCATTTTCTCGTTTGCCAAACAAGTTGTGCTCCTTCACATTTGAAAAACAATTTAAACTGGATATAGCCTAATGTTTTGCGACGGAGACTATAGTGTTTGGAGTCCTACCTTCCATGGCTTCTTGATTATCATACAACTTGTGCAGATTAATGTCTATTAATTGAAAACTACAGAAATTTGAAGTTTTTCTTCATTTTCTTGATGGTTAAATGAGCTGTGTGGCTTTGCATTCATGTTATCTGAATATAAAATCCTATGAAGATCAGCCGAATTTTTGTTTTTGAAATAATAGAGAATGGAATATTCAAGATTTTGATTTATGTTTGTTCATCACTTTATTGATTTCAGTTTAAGAAAGCTGAAAATCTGAGAGTTTTTTCTTGACCCCAACTCAAATTATTTGTTTGATTCCAGAAACAATGGAGGGAAGAAAAACATAGAAATGTAAAGCTTGGAATGACATTGTTGCTAATTTCTTTTTTGTTCCATAAAAATGTGAAGTGATATTATTGGTAGGATTTGAGATTTAATGAGAGATCTAGAAGCTATTTTATTCAATTTCCCACATTTTTGAGCAGTTAACTGCAAAATTTTATTGATGTTTTTGTTTCCTTATGTGAGGTTTAGGTCATTGATGTTCTTCATCCAGGAAGGCCCAATGTTTCCAAGGTAATTTACTTTTTTCCTTTTTTATGTTGCTATATGATATATTTTAAATTTGTTTGAGGGTATTATTGATCAGAGTTTTGATAATTTCTGTCAATTGTTTTGAAGGCGGAGTTGAAAGAGAAGTTGAGCAGAATGTATGAGGTCAAGGACCCGAATTCTATATTTGTTTTCAAGTTTCGTACCCATTTTGGAGGTGGGAAGTCAACCGGCTTTGGTTTGATTTATGATTCGGTTGAGAACGCAAAGAAGTATGAGCCTAAGTACAGGCTCATTAGGGTAATTTCATGTTAAAGCTTTTCATTTCTTTTGTCAAAGTTTTCTGTTATTTTTTCTTTGGGACTCATGTTCTTTTATACAATTATTTTCCATTGGGTAACTGTTGGCTCAAATGTACTTGTTTCAATTTGTGATGTGCGAGCTTGAGTTATTCTTGTCTTTCTATTGAGTAAAATTGTTTGATATTTGTTGGGCTTTGTTTTGGGAATAGTTTTATGCTAGATCTAATAGTCTAAATTTGAGGTGAATGCCAAATTGCCAATCTTTATCCGTAGATGTTCCACTTATATCCTCATTTCCATTTGTTTCATTCTTATTCTGTTCTGGATGACTACTTTTAATGGTACAAATATACATTTGGTGGGCGGTACATTCTATTTCTTTGTATTTGTTTCACTTGATCACATAAGTTGACTAAAGCAATCCACTTACCATGCCAAAAAAGGAGTTCAACTAAAATTGTTTATGGAGGATTTTAATGACAAGTGGAAGTGTTGCTTGGTAGAGTTGAATTACCAGTTCTTTTGCAATGATAGCTTTATGTTACTTGGGCCTCAACGCTGCTTAAGAAAGCCTTATTACACTTATTTGGGCTTGACAACATGAATCTTGTTCCTCTATCATGGTCTATCAAGGGCCATATTTGTCACTAAACCGTGAGCTATGATACAATTTTTACTATATCATTTTGTATTAATTTCGGTAAAATATTCAAACCGCCTTTTGTTGATGCTTTCTTAATTTGTCTTCCGCTGGTACTATTTTGACAGTTTTATCCCTTGTTATTTTACCTCCCATCCATCTTAGCGTTTGCATTTTAGCCTCATTTGATTTTTTAAAGTGTTGTTTTTTAGTTGCCCAACATTCAATATGATAAAAGTAGGTCTAATGGTCGCCTTGTAGAACTTTTCTTTTAGCTTAAGAGTTACATGTTGATTACATAATGGACTAGATGCATTCTTCCACTTCATTTGTCTTACTTCAATTCTATAGTAATATCGTGTCCAATCTCCCCTCGTGGTGGATAATTTACTCTAAATTGTGGAAGTGCTAATTATTTAAGTCTATACTTCAATGAAAATTAATTTCGTATTTTCAGTTTTACCTCTACCAATCTTAAATCTTTTTGATTGTAAAGATTTCCTCCAATTTTTTGCGTTATTATTAATTACTATTTTAGTTTTGAATACTATATCATTAGCAAATACCATGCACCATGGAATCTCATACTGAATATGCCCTACTAATCCATGAATAGTCAAGGCAAAAAAGATACGGGCTTGAGGGAGAACCTTAATGTAATTCTACCAAGATCACTATTTGTCCTCTTTAAAGTCTCACTGTACCCCTCGTACATATCCTTTGTGATATCAACATTCCTATTTGTAAACTCTTTACTTTTGGAACCCTACCATATAATATCTCTGGAAAACCATACAAAGATCTTCATTTTTCTCATTATATCTGACATTAGTCTCCAAAGCAAGCACATAGCTTCCATAGTTGACATTCCAAGCATAAATCCAAACTGATTGTTAGACAAGGTTTTTTCTACTCTTAATCGTTTTCAATGACTTTTCCCAATGTTCCATTGTATGACTCGGTAATTTAGTATCTTGATATTTGGTGTTATTCAGAATGTCGTCTTTATTTTTATATATTAGTATTAAAATACTTTTTCTCCATTCATCTGACATTTTCTTAGTTATAATTTTATCAAATAATCTAGTTAACCAAGATAGTCCAACATTCTGGAGTATTTTTAATTTTGAGTTTTGAATAAGGATACTGCTTACAAAGAGCCAATACAAATGGTAGTGTTTTACATATTGCGTACGATAATTTCTAGTTTGTGATTAAGGTATTGTGTGTATAGAGCCAATACAAGTGGTAGTGCCATACCCATTTTGCATTCATTAGGTTCAATTTTACTATTGGATTTGTTCACCTAACCCACAATGTCAATTGTGTTCTTCGCATTGTAGAATTCAGATGCACATGATAAGAATAGTAGAATATAGTTTCTCCTGGTGATAAAGATACTATGTTTAAATATTGGTGAACTCGTAGCTGATTATTTTAAACTACTCAGCATCAAGTATAAAATGTGTTTTTGTTTTTCCGTCAGAATAACTCATTCATAAGTCATTACATTTTGGGGGTTGATTGATAAGTACTTTGCATTTGTTTGACTTTTTGCACTGTCTTTCTTTTCTCATAACAATTTAGGCTATGAAGCATGAATACGGGTACGATATGATACAGATACAACGATACGACAAAGTCTAATAAAGTAGGATACAAGTACTGCCAAGATATGGCTATAATAAAATATATTTAATATTTTTATTATTTTCAACCAACTTAATACTTATATATTTTAGTAGTTCTTTGACATATAATAAGAAAAATTAGTAATTTTTTATAGTTTCAAGAAAATATATATCATGTCGCCATGGTATATTCGCAAAGTGAAGTGACTAATTAAAGGAATCAAAACTAATATTTACCTAATATTTAGAAGTAATTTTTGCTAAAATTATAATGTAATAGCTTTCTTTTGTACTCTTTTGTTATGTAATTGTAGATAATATTTAAAAAACACTCATGTGCCTTTGAAGTAATATGAATTTTTTGTTAATGTATTGTATGGTATGTGAATTCGGAAAGAAATGTTAAAAATTCAATTAAAAAATTATATATGTTGCTCGACTACAAAAGTATCCGTGAAGTATCCTAATAGTTAATTATTATCGGATACATAGAAGGTGTATCCTATACGTATCCTCGAGTATCCGAAGAGTACGTCAACATCAACGAAGTATCCATGCTTCAGAGAATCTAGGTGATCGAAAATGACATACTTTCAGTTTGAATTCTTAAATTTCATGCCCTCTTGCTCTCATTTTGATGTTACTTTATTTTATTTATTTTTTTATGTCTGCTCTTGTACAATTGGTATCCATAGTTTAATTCCTTAAATCGAGTTTGTGTCATCTAATGATATGGGTTAGTTAGGTACTACCAACCCATGTTTTGAGCTCAGAGGGTTCTTTAAGAACTCTTGTAATCACTCCGATTTTAGCTGTCTCATGTATTTGTGAAGGACGGTGTAAATGGTTGTTCAGTCTTTGTTTGCTAAATCTTGTAGGCCTCAAAATTCCAATAGACATTGGTTGTGAACCGATTAAAAAACTTAGACGTTCTTTAATTAACTAAACTAATCTGCTATGTTTGTTTGTCACTTTCATTTTACATATTTCCAACTAAATAGATTGATTCTCAACTATCATATTCTTTTGACATAATTGTTTGCAATTTCTTCAAGATATTCTCTTGAACATGTATCTAAGTCTATTGCGGTGTTTGTTCTAATGTTCGCAAGATAACCTTTTTTTTATACGAAAGTTATATTAGCATTCAGAGTCTGAAAATTTTGGCTTCATTAGTCATGTTTATGTAACTCACTGATTTGATTCATTATCGTATGTAGAGGATTATAACCCTTTTAAACCATTCAACTTAGCCAATGTGACTTGTTTTCTTGGTGGCTGGCTTATATACCCAGTCCCTCTTGTGCTCTTGTTTTCCCATTCATCCTGCCCTCTTCTCTCCCAGATTGATGCTTCTTTTCTTCTGTCTTCCTGTCTGAAATTCCCCTCTTGCACATGTTTACTGTTTGTGTGTTGTGGTGGCAGAATGGACTTGATAAAAAGGTTGAGAAGTCAAGGAAGCAAATGAAGGAGAGAAAGAACAGAGCCAAGAAGATCCGTGGAGTAAAGAAGGTAGAATTATTGCTACTTTCTTTGTTTTTAGTTTATTATTATTATTTGAAAAGTTTTATATGCCAATGTGGTAATCGGTATTGTCGCCCTTTTGTACAGACAAAGGCCGGAGATGCTGCCAAGGCTGGAAAGAAGAAATGAGTTTCCTGCATTTATCATTTAATCTTTAGTGTCATTTGCAGCAATGATGTCTTGTCAGTAGCTTTATGTGTACTTATAATGAATCATAATCTTCCGTGTCTCCTATCAAGATTATATTATTTTGAGAGGACAATTTTATGAATTGAGAGTAGTAACAGATTCTCGTTTTATTCAATTGTTTCTTGCTGTGATTGTTGCAGAATTCTTCCATCAATAGGTTTTTAACTCGTGTTGCCTTTATGATCCCTATTGAAGGTTATTGTTGCTACTCGATAGGGTCAAAACTGTTACTTTTAAGTACAGTGATTTTGTGTTATTAGCCGCAAAATTAAGTGAGTTGTGCAGGTCCTGTCTATAAGACTGGGTTTTTTCAACTCTATTACCAATTTACCCCATTTCTCAAACTTAAATACCAATTTACTGCCGTTTTCAATTTATTTACCAAACTACCGTTGTTTTAAAAACAGAATTACCAATTCCGACTTTATCTCAAAAAGCGAATTTGTCAAATACGCCTTTATTACTGAAAGCGGATTTGTTAGTTACGTTTTTAATTGAATAATTGTAATTTTGAAATTTGTTTTTAAAAGTGGACTGGTTTAAAAGTAGAATTACTAAGTCCGACTTTATTTAAAAAGCGGATGTAGTAATTACGACTTTATCAGTGGAAGAGTCTTTGTCAATTGCACTTTTAATTTTGTTTTTAAATTGAAAGCGTGTTTGGTAAGTGCGATTTCATTTGAATATCAACCTCCCAGGCCCCCTTTCTGTTATTTCATTACTTCGCCTATCTCTCCTCTCTTCCCTCTTCTCTCTTCTCTCTTCTCTGTGGAAGGTTTGATTCGCCTCTCTTCGCTCTTCACTGCCTCCTCCTCATTCTTTCATTATTGTGTCTGATTTCATCACCCCTAAGCTTAGCCCTTATAATGCACAAACCCTACTGATGAAATTCAAGCGTAGCCGTAGTTTTTTCGAAGAAGACAACTGACTTTTGGATCAATGAAAGGCTGTGAAATTCGCCTGAGGTGTGACATCTTCCAGTCGTGAGATTCCATTGTAAGCCCTAGTTTTGTCGACTGAAGCAGTAGACTGGTACACACCCGTGGGCTAGGTCTGAACGAAGGAAAAGACAACGGTTCACGTGTTGAACACAAAGCTTCTATTTAAGCAGGTACGCTACATTGACTCTCTAATCCAGAAGAAACCCAAGTGTAACTGCAAAATTTCCCCATTGTCCAATCCCCATGAATGTTGAATTCAGAAATCCCCAAGTGTTAGTACAAATTTTCAATCCTTATTGCCCAATGACTGTGTGATTCCGAAAATCCCCAAATATTTTCAATTTTGAATCCCCATAATGCTACGAGTAGTTTGAACTGCATCTTTTCTTCAGAAGATTACAGTGTGAAGGTATATTTTTATTCAGAAATTTATTTTCAACTGCATCAGTGTCTCTAATATTGAATTCAAGTGCAATATATACTGATTGTTTATGTACTGTCTCTGATATTGTTTCATTGTATATTGATTGTTTATTCAACTGCATCACAACAACTGTAATCTTATTATTGATTATTCAACTTTAGAAGATTACTGATTGTTTATTCAACTGCATCACAACAACTGTAATCTTATTATTGATTATTCAACTTCAGAAGATTATAGATTGTTTATTCAACTGCATCACAACAATATTTTGCAAGGTTTTAGAATTATCCATGTTAGTATGATAGTGTCTCTGATTATCTACTGCATGTGATCAGAATTATCTACTGTCTGTGATTAGAATTATGTACTGTCTCTGATCAGAATTATGAACAAGTTATTTTGCTCTTGTATGCTAATTCTTTGCGACTGCTTTTGGATTTGGAAGCATAGCTTGAAGTTTGACCATGTTTTTAATTTTTGTTGGGACTGAGTTGTGATGATCTAATAAAATTATTTAGTCACCCAAAAAACATCATAGTTAAATTTGGTTCTCTAATCCGTTGTCCCCAAATTATGGCAGGATAGAATGGTTGAACCATGTTAACATGCCAAAATATGAGTCACATATAACTCTCTGTCTAAAAGTGTTTGCTTTATGAGAGTCACATATAACTCTTTGTCTAAAAGTGTTTGCTTTGTTCTGGCCCATGCTATGTTAGGGCAGTGGTCTCATTTCTCAGCATGCAATTGCATATAAAGGAGAGCAATGCCACTTACTATCCACCTTATCTTGGTGTTGTTCAAATACCCAAAAATTGTTATATTACATAACAAACAAGAGATCTCTCTTTCATTCCTCAATCATCTTCGGCTTTTACTGGTTCATCACAAGAATTAAGCTCTGACAAATCAGTATTACTGGAAATAATTTTACTCTTAATTTCTTCTTCTATTTAAAGTGATTCAAAGAAAAGTATTACAGAAAATCAAAAAAACAAAGCAAAGATAGAGATCCACCAATCATAGAACAAAGTGATGGAAACCCTTTTTAATCTTTTGTTATCACTTTTTTATTCTGGTAATGATCTTTTGCGATGAACTTCCAAGTGAGTGTTTCTCAGTCTCCCAGTCAAAGAGCTTCTTCCTATCTTTGATATCATAAAAAGACATGCAAAGAGCAACAAATAATTTGAAAGCAAAGCTTCCTGAAATGCTAGAAAAGGAGTGTTTGAGAAACAAGAGAGAAGCATGTAAGTTTTTTATACTACAACATGCCCTTTACCCATACATCACTCATAAACAGTTAAAGATGTATAAACAAAGAAATTTGTATTAAAATAATAGAGCCGTCAATAGAGTGTTACATAGCGTCATGTTGAGGCATTGTCGTACATCCCACAAATCAAAAACTATAGGACTCTATCCTCCGTTCTCTTGATCAAATCCATCAAATGTACTTTCCATAAAATAAAATTTTGTTTGCTAATCATCCTAGCAAAACCAAACCAGGAAATATTTTGTATTTGTTGCTAATTTTGTGATTGTAACGAAGGGATATAATTTGTTTTAAATTGAAAGTTAGGGGCTTTCTTTTGATCTCTCCTTTAACTATAAAGTCCTTTAAGTTTTCTCTTTGAATGGGAATACATTGAAGTCGAACAATCCTCTAGCTTTTTTCTCATTTGCTTAAAGTAAAGCACTCTCATAAAGCACACTTAAAAGCAAACTATGACATTATCTACTCAAAAGGGCTGCTGCTCATTTTATGCTTTTGAACTTCAAATGAACATCTTTGGTTTATACGTGGCCATGTGGGTGAAAGCAATATCTAAGAGGGAACAAAACTCTCTCTCTCTCACAGTGAGAGAAAGAGATAAATTCTTTAAAATAATGACATGACAGCCTTGTTAATGTAAAAAGTGATGGAATTACGTACCACACACTTCTTTTCCCAAAAGTTAAGATTATTTTGTTTCTGCATTATTTTGTCGAGAAGAAACTTAAAAGTTTCATATATGAACCTAAAAAGTTGCTATTATAACAATATAAATGACAACTTTGGTTCTTATACTTGATGAAACTGCACGGAATATTTAAGTTCATGCTTTTCACTATTGTACTGCCTTGCTGCTTAGTCCTGTGGAAGAAACAAGATGGCTCTAACCTAGAAAAAAGAAGCTTCAAATGATCCTTTTTATGCTTGATTAGCAACCCATAATTGATGGTTATTTTTTCTCGAAAATTTGTTTAAAATTCCTATAGTAATGTTGTTCTTTTTTCCTAATAAATTATCCATCCATTCACAATCCATGAAAATAAATGTTTCACATTTGTATTCAGTAAAATACATGTAAAATACCTCGATTTATACATAGACCAAAGAATATCACTGTCTTGTATTTAATAAATTATCCTTACTTTTTGCTGCACAATTATATAGTTAACATCTTTTGAACTTAGTATAATAACGACTTGTTAAAATAATCAACGAACATAGTCTATGAAAGGCAGTAATTTAAATATGAAAATTATTTGATAGTATATTGTATGTTGAAGGTATAAAATGTCAAGGAGACGCGCCACAGTAATGTGTTATTGGGGAGGTAATATTATCTATAATGAAGGTTGTTTATTGTACAAAGGAAATCCTCAACGTTGTTTAAAGTTAAAATAAGGAACAACATATGAAGAATTGTCCACCAAGGTGTACACGATAATGCAGCTGGACAGTACAACATCATGACTACAACTAATTTGTCGTTTTCCAACTTTTTTGGGTGATCACATGCAACAGTACACGGAATTTGAAATAAAAAATGATGACGGTGCCGCGGTGATGGTAGATGCTGTATTTGAGAACCGAGCACTGAATAGTATTGACTTGTACATACAGGCAGAGCCCATACAACGGTTGTCTCAGCCAATGATGAATGATTATGGATCGTATATTGAATTGCTTACACAGGAGAGCATCAGTCCGTGTCCCAGTTCGCATGCGCTTGATAACTCTTACTATGGTTGTGGGAGTAGTCATGTTGAACACGACTATATGGCTCACGATACTTTTGCAACAGAGTTTAATTCGGGCCATGGAATTCTGCAGGCTGAGCCTTATGTGCCAAAAATGCATATAGGGCCTAGTACGCAGACGTCGACGTATTTGGGATACAACACATCTTCTTCCAATGTTGGTATCCAATGTCATGCTCAATCAAGGATCGAAGTCATTCAAAATTTGGTTCAGTCAGACGCTGATTTGTTGGCGACCAATGTAATGCATGCGGTTGATCGTGCGAAAGTCACAGACGATGAGGACAAAGAGATTTTATTGATGGACGATGTGGAAAACCATAATGATGATGCTGACAGTAGAGGCCCATCAGTCATACTGCAAGACACTGTTCGTATGCATGAGCCATCGTCAGCCTTCTTCAGCAATGATGAACTTCCCCAACTGTCTACACCCAACAGTCAAACAAGAGCTCCAATGTGGGATCCGAATCGACCTGAATTATCAATTGGGCTAATCTTTAAGGGTAAATCGGAATTGCAAGATGCAGTGAAGATTTATT